TGGGAAAGGCCTTGAGAAATATGGGCAGGATATTGACCAATTCTGTTTGGATCTGCATTCTATCTTCAAGTACAGTGCTGCAAGAAGGGAAGATTACACAGAACTTCAAATGAGTCTGGACATTGAAATGCACACATTCCAACAGCACACCGAAGTTCGTTGGCTGAGCATGGGACCTGCTATCCGTCGGATTCTTGAGCAATGGGATGCAATCTGCGAGTTCGTCAAACACCTCGCTAAAGATGCCAAGAAAGCACCCAAAAGCGTCAACTTCAAGCGAGCAAGTGCTATGCTCACTGGACCGGAAAAGGATGTGACAAAGGCTACCTTGCTATTTCTGAACAGCACCATTCCTGTATTTGAAGGATTTCTTACATTCTTCCAGAAGAGTGGTCCAACCATCAACTTGGTCTACGACAGCCTCTGCCAGAATCTCCTGAAAGTCATGCGAAGATTCATGAAAACAAGTTATTTGAAAGACACGTATGGAAACGAACTGGCCACAATCGCATGTCAAGACGTCAAAGTGCAGCTTGCTGATAGTCAACTCAACATTGGTGATGAAACCCGATTGGCACTAGAACAGTTGAAACCAGACAAGCAGAAGTATGCTATTCTTGGCATCTGATCATTCTATGGCGCTGCAGTGTCACATATGCAAACACGATTGCCTCTGAGCAACACTCTCTTAAGAGATCTCGGTTGCCTCAATCCCCTTAAAAGAGAACGAAAAACAACAGTTGCATCGTTTCAGAACCTGTCTCGCAAGCTCCAACCACAACTGAATGTATCATCTGTTCAGGATGAGTGGAAACTCTACCAAGCAGACGTGGATGTGTCTTACCAAAACCAAGATGTGGAGCAATATTGGAATGATGTGTTTCAGCTCAAATCAGTTGAGGGGAACAGTCGCTACAATGACCTACAGCTGGTTGTCAAATCAGGTCTTGTCTTGGCCCAGACAAATGCTGAATCAGAGAGCAGTTTGTCGGTGAATGCACGTGTTGTCACGAAGGACAGAGCAGCACTCGGTGAAACCACAATTGTTGGTATTCGTACAGTAAAGGAGGCTGTGCGATTTCATGACCCTGTTCACTGCAAACCAGAAAATATCCCTATCACCAAGGAATTGAAGTTGTCAGTTCGGGCTGCACATGCAGCATATCGTGCAAGACTGCAGGGTGAAGCACTGGAGCTAGAAAGGAAACAAGAAGAAGCTAGAAGGAAGAGAGAAGAAGCTGATCTAAGAGAAAAGGACAAAGAAAAACTTGTGGAAACTAAGGAGTCACTGGCTAAGAGAGAGCAAAATCTGGCACAGAAGGAAACGGCAGCAAGAGCTGATTTGGATGCTGCTGATGAGCTGCTAAATGATGCAACAACAAAACTCCATGATGCTCTCACTGGTGCAACTGTTAAGAAGCAAAGCGTTAATGTTGCCACCATGATGCTGGATACTGCTAAAGCCAAACGAGAAGAAGCCATGAAACGCCTGGATAAAGTAAGGTACAAGAAACGGTCCTTGGACAACCGGACACATAAACTGCTGGAAAAAGCTATTCCAGGAAAGCAACCTGCAACAAAAAAGAAGTCAAATAGCAAGACTGAGGCCACCCCTGCTAAGAAGTCTAAAACAGCATGAACACCAGAACTATTATGCCTGAAACTGTAGGTGTTCCTGGACTGACTTCTTTAAGAAAAATGCTATTGATTTTCTTATGTAATTGATGGATGAAGACATCATTGCAGTACATGGTGATTTGCCAGAGTATATTATAAATTCAATTTCATTTTAATAATAGAGGGTGAATATTATGTTAATAGTTCATGACGTTTTTGTTGGCTGGGACAGCCGAAATCATTTATTTGTAAAGCTTGAAAAATCTCACCTTATCAAGAGCTAATAATACCTACTAATAATAATAGTGCTATTTCACGACAACATTATTCTACTTTGCCTGCGAGTCTAGAATAATTTTATGGTATTGCATTAAGTAGAATTCTTTGCTCTCTAAAACAAGACCAACCGCTTGTCAATACGATACTCCTAGGCTGAGATATTGGCTCCTAAACCTCTCCTAAATCGCTACCATTTTGGAGTAGTCTTTTACATGTTTGGGTGCTTATGCATGTAGAATCTGCAGATACATTTTAACTTGCATTTCTCTTTAGAACCTTAAAAAAATTTACTATGTGATGCACATTCAAATATATTTTAATTAGAAATAAACAAAAAACAACAATTGTGGTGGATCGGGATGGCTATAGGGGTGTTGGGAGGCCATCTAATGAACACATTCCTATTTAACATATTTGTGCTTTATAGTAAAAATGTATTGCACAATTTCTGAATAATCTTATATCATGTGCATGTCCAGATGAGACGGGATACTAGAGAAGCGTTGCCGAAAGGAGGTGTTGACCCGAAGTGCTGAGCGCAGATCTTGCGCGCAGTTCCGCGGCAAGGCGCACGCGACCGCGGGAACGTCCTACGACAGTATGCAGCGCTGGCAGCTATGGATCCGTGCGCCGAATGCTTAGGCTGGCACACGCATCCATGCTGCTGCTGCCAGCGAACAGTCCACAATTTTAGTGGGGGACACAGAGGACAGACATTTGGGACAGGAACAGTGTTCACTTGTTATAACAA